TGCCTGGATGACATGGCAAGACCTCATCTCAAAAAAAAAAAAAAAAAAAACCGAAAAAAAAAAAAAAACCAAGGCCTGAGACCTCTCACTTTTGTACCTTAGGGAGCCCTGAGCTGCCACCATGTAAGAAATCAGACTCAGCAGGAAAGACCACATGGAGAGGCCACATGGAGCGGAAGAGGATCCAGGATTATACAGACAGAGATGCGGTGGGGCCTGCTGTCCCATCATTCCAGCTGAGTCCAACCATCCAGCCATCCCACCAAGGCATCAGACACATAAATGAAGCATGTGGGATGTTCCAGCACAAACCATTATCTGATTGCAGCTACATGATAGACCCCAAGCCTTATCAATAGAAAAACCATCCAGAGGAACCCCAATCAACCCAAAGAATCATAAGAAATAATAAACTGGATGTTATATTTGAGGGTAGTTTATTATTTAGCAATAGACAACTAAAAATGCAGCAAGAGAATTTTTTCTATGTAAGGTTATTTACTTTTTCCATCCTTTGCACAACCAATAATACCTTTTTTCCATCAGTCTTCTTCCCTAACTCTGAACCACTTCTATAGAATATGATGTTGCTAACCAAGTTTTCACATTCCTGTAGAAATTATTTAAATCAGACTGGAAGTGGAACCAAGTCCACAGATGGAACAAGGGATTCTAATAGAAACTGATGTTTAAAAGAGCTAGATATCTAAATACATTACTATTGCTGCTGCTGCTATACCACTTCTCTGGCTGACAGTTGTTCTTCAGAGCTAGCTTGCCAATAGAAGGTCAAAATGCCTTGCCTAAACACAAGACTTACAAATTTGGGATCTTAAGTATGATGTCATGTCTTAAAATGATAAGCTGGCAAAGAAAATAAATGGCATTTTGTAAAGATGTGCACCATTTTCATGTTTATGCTACTTAAGATGAAGGTTCTAATAAGTCATCGGCTATGTTCCTTTAAAGGGAAGTTTTATAACCGAGATGAATCACAACTGCAAAAGATCAAAGTTAAAAAACATCAATGATGCCATAGGGTACTTTTTAATCTTGTAATGAGTGATGATCATGTGCTCTTATGAAGTCAGTCCAACTGCCAACGCCAGATGTGTATATTAAGAAAAGAAGTTGTTTGTGATGTGACAGCACTGGTTCAGCTGCCAGAGACAGAAAACATAGAAGGATGAAACCTTTTGGATTTTTGAGTGAAAAGCAAGTCTTGGCAGATGTGTTGATAGGCAAGGCCTCAGAGTGGAGTACTAGTGCCACAGCATCTGCTCTTGGACTTTGCTGCAAACAAATTAAATTTATCATCAATTCTGCACAGCTTTCCCTGGGCAGCATGAATATCTGCTCAGGCATAATTTATAATATGAATTAGTGTCATTTACTAATGAGCAAAAGTTAGTAAAGCCATCTGCAGGGGGAAAAAAGTAATATACTAGAGAACAGAATCTATAGATGGTATGTGTTTCCTAGAAGCATACCATAAGAAAAACTCTACGGCAAACCTCTGACACTGAAGAAAATTGATGTAATAATACCTGATACTTAATGAACACTTACTACATGACAGTCACTGTGCTACCCATTTTACATACATTACATTTAACATTTTTGCAGCAACTGATGAGGAAGGTATTATCATTCTCATATAAAAGATGAGAAAACCAAGGCAAAGAGAAGTTAGGTAACTTGCTTGCCTCCATACAGTTAATAAATGGTGGAGTTGGGATTTCGATCCAAGCAGTTTGACATAAAGACCCAACCAGTTAACCCAGAATTTGTCCTCATTCAAACAGCTGAGCTACCAGAAGCAGGCTTTTCAATATATATTCAGATCTTTAGAGGAAGGAGTACAATTCCATCAATAGGAACTGATAATACAAAATTCTCAACTCCCTCAAGCCACTATAAGTGATAAACAGAAGTATACTACTTTTATGACTAATAACCACTAATTAAGGAATTATAATTTGGGGCAGAGGAGGCTAAACAATTGCTTATAAATTGTTCCGTTCCCCTCTCCACCCGCCCCAGGAAAGCCTTTTACTATAGCCCTTCTCTGTTAAGGATCAATAAAATTAGCCACTTTGAATAAGCAAGGGTTGACAAACTACAACCTGGCTCACCAATTATTTTCATAAGTAAAATTTTAGTGGAATACAGGTTGAGTGTCCTTAATCTGAAAATCCGAAATGCTCCAAAATCTGAAAGTTTTGAGCACCAACATGATGCCACAAGTGGAAAATTCCACACATAAGTACGCAACATAAACTTTGTTTCTTCCACAAAATTATTTAAATATTGTATAAAATTATCTTCAAGTTATGTGCATAAGGTGTATATGAAGCATACATGAATTTCATGTATGGATTTGGGTTTCATCCCCAAGGTATCTCATTATATATGCAAATATTCCAAAAATTAAAAAAAATTGGAATCCAAAACACTTCTGGTCCCAAGCATTTTGGATAAGGGACACTCAACCTGTATAGCCATGACCATGAATGTATGTATTTGCTTATGCTCCTTTGAGCTACAATGGCAGAGTTGAGTGGTTGTGACAGAGACCACCATATGGCCCACAGTGTCTAAAGAATTTTCTATCTGGCACTCTACAAAAAATGTTTGCCAAGTTGTGTTCTAGAGGATCTCTCATTTAACATTACATGCACCAACTAATCAAAATCCTATTATAGTCACTGTTTAAGAAAATTGGAAATCTTGTGCATTTCCCATACCTAGGAGTGTCAAAATTAAAGAACAATATTGAGAAGAGGGCTATGCTACACATATTCAATGCCCAGGATGACCAAGAGCAGGGAGGAATCCAGCACAGAGTCCAGGTTATAGGATTCAGCAGTCGCTGAAAGCAGACCCATCCCTCTCTCCAGACACTGACTTCATCAAGTCACCCCATAATGTCAGGAAAATGACCTTGCATTTTCACCGATATTTTCAGTTAATAAGAAATGTTATTCAGGTTTATCTAGGGCAGGTGGTCTACCACTTGCAGATCTGTATCTGCTTCCACCGCCCACCCTGGGCACCACACAAAGCCTGAACTCAGGTCCCACGTATACCACCTGGCCCCTCTATTCCTAACTCTCACTGCTTTCAGAGTACTTCTCTGCCTTTACAAGGCAGTGAGTCTATTGACTAATTTGGCCAAAAACCTCTCTAAATAAGGTACTGCTATCCACACTTGAAACAGAAGTGACTTTTCCAAAGCTACCCTGCCTTCTCACTTATTGTCATATCGTTCAGAACAGGGAGCACCTATCCTTCCCTGTTTCCTCTCCCAACCATCAAATTTTGAGCATCAACTCTTGTGTATATGTACATACACACACACAAACATACACACACACACACACACATAAACACACACGAATGGTTTTTCCAAGAACTGAGAAAAGCAGCTGAGATCAGCAGGAAACATCTTTAAGAGATAAGTATTCGTGGTGCTACGTGTTAAAAACCAATTATCCTGCTATATGCATTACTAAAATGGACGTCCTGCCTTTTCAGGAATTCCGGGGCTAGTCTGACCAAAAGTTAGAAGACATCTTCCATCATAAGGCATCATCCCCAACTTATGGCCATCCAGAAAAGGCAGGCAAAGCCCCAAACCAGGCAAAGCTCTGTTCTATTCACCTGCACTCCATAACCACTAGCCCTTAGGACTAGAGACTTGGGGCTTACACACATATGTACTGCAATCACCTAACAGGACATTCCCAAATTGAATAGACAGGGCCAGCACTGACTCAACATTATGAACCTGGAAGAATGCCATACACATGAAAGGAGAAGAAAACAAAAACCTCAAAGACTTGCTTTTGAGGCAGGAAACCTCCCTAGTTCAGGCAAGCAGTCAGTCTTTGTGAAAAGAGACAGCAGCAAAAGGGACAGGACTCATCATAAGCTCCCACTGCTAGGAAGGTTTGCTACTTGGGTGGAGGCAAAACTTTATGAGACCTTTTCTCTCATTTGAGGGGAAGAAGAGATATGCCACTCTCATGATCCAGGCAGGTTGATTGTTACAGAACAAGTACTTCTGCCAGCTATACCTCCACCACAAATCAAATTGAACTCCCTCAATGCAGTGATTAGGATTCCAATGTATTCACTCAGCAAAGGCAGAGTTCTATATGTTTCCATTGGCACACAATTGTTAACGGTTTATATATCAAATAATCTTTAATCTCTAAATATATTTAAATACCGCTATGCTGAGTTTGTTCAAAGCAGTTTTTTGGTGGCGGTGGGGCAAGCAAACCTCAGTCAATTTAGATTTAGAAGGAACATACATATTGGCCCAAATAGATTACGTGCACTACCTGAGACTGATTGCCGGTGAAACCTTCTGGATGTCCAGACAGACAAATAAACCAAGATGGATTTAAAGGTGGTTTGACTCTATCTGTTAAAAGAAAACTACCTATAACAATTACTAGAGCATGACCAAACAACGGTGTTGTAACAATCAAGCAAGTTATCATTTGCAAATAAATTCTTTGTAATTAAGCAGTGTGCTCTTCATAAAGGGAATTGAGTGGGCGAGTTAAAAAGCTCAAACACATTCTTAGGCCATGGGAAACACATGCAAATGCTTTTTGACTAAGCTCAAGATTTTTAAGTTTACTTTTTTCTTCCTCAGCTCTCATGGGTCTATTCTGCCCCAGTATGTTCAGTACATGAGCAAAATTTCTTAGCAAATAGTTAACAGTGACTGAATAATTATTCACTCATTTCCCAAAGTTATGGAGGCCTTAGCAATTGTGTGGTAAAGCTTAAAACCGTAGTTTTATTTTCTAACTCTGAAGTTTGATTAACTGCCCCTCACTAAAAAATATATATATATATATGCAGATAGCAAAGTCTACAAAGACACTATGGACATGAAAGTGACCCTAACTCATTTGGAATAAATTCCTCATAGGGTCTCTGGAAACTCTATTACCATTTTCAATAAAAAGGGGAGTACTTACTTCTGGGTTCCCGAGGTCCATCCACTGTAACTTTAATTGCTCTGTGATAGGTAGCTACTTGGGGAGGATTTGTGAAGACGGTTATGGTCAAGGTGAAACTCTTGCCTGCAGATATAAAAGGGGAAAACATACAGTGAATATTAAAAAACAGTATTGATGATTACACAGCAGCATAGATTTCCAAATTGCATTTAAGCATCTCTAAGGAGGCAATGAAACAAAGACAAGAGGCAAGACTCCTTCTTCTAAATTGAAAACCCTCTGTTGACCACTGTTAGGACATTTCCAAATTTGCTTAGTGTCAAGATCATCATCCTCATTGTAGTGCTACACAGGAAGACTCCAATTCCAAAAAAGCTCCTCAGTAGCAAGAGTTGTAATGAAAACAAAACCCTGGTCCACTTGAGGGAGGTTCTTTTTCTTTCAATTTTCTCCAACATCAGGAACACATCCAAGCACAGACAATTTTAGAAGTCTTTATTTAGGGTTAGGTCATGACCTCATGAGAGAACAATAGTAAATCATTGTTGATTATGTTATTTACTTCACATGGCTTTAGCATTTCATTTGCTTAGCTGCACTACAGTAAGAAGATAAAAGAGGAAAGTTCTTATGGGAATCATTTTAACAGGAGCCAGTGTCTCCTGTCCTGGCCTTAATGTGCCTGTGGTATGATGATTTCATCATTACTGGAACCAAGTTTTTCTCCTCCCTGTCCACCCCTCCCCTAACATACATCCTTGCTGTTAAATCTTGAAATAACTCCCTGACAGTGACTTACTTTTTGCTAAATGAACATGACATCTCTCAATATAAACTCAGATTTTGCTTTTAGCAGAAGGTGTGCTTCGTTGAAATATTACATCTGATGCTTCAAATTAATGAGCTAAAAGCAATGAATAAGAAGGGGAAAAGAGGGAAAAGTTTGGTAGCATATTTGGATGTCTGTTTTCTCCAGAAGAAGATACCATTCTCTGTTGCACAGACTTACTAACAGTTGTAATCAGTTAGATTTGCAACGGTTAATCATGTCAGATAGTCAAAACTGCAAACTGTTACAAGACAGGAAGAGGTGGGCGTGAAACAGTGACTCAATAAAACATTCAGCAATCTCAGGCCAGAGTGCTCATTTAGTCTGCTCCTGTAACAGACCTTTAAAAAGCTCATTTTGTTTTGCTTTGTTTTTTTGGTCAGAGATTCTTTTTCCCTTTACTGAAAACTGAGAGTATTAAACCAAAACACAAATCTTTGACAATATGTACCAATGCAGAGTTTAATGCAGTCTTTTCAAAGCTTAATATGGAACAGGTTATATACAAGGCTTAATGGAGAACAGGTCTTTGGCTGTCAAGTCTAGTGAATGGGTTTTCTTTTCAACCTAGACCATGTAAGTTCCTAAAATCTGTTTAAGACACACATCATTTGTTGCTGAGTATAAATAGTTTTAAGTCTCCTTGGCTATACTTTTTCATAGCCAAGGGGAAAAAAACAGGAAAGAAAAGACAGGAATGGAATAGGTGCAGTTTGAATAGGGAAAGGCGAATAACAATTAGAAACTTATTAAGTGCCACTTCATACACATTATTTCAATTAATCCTCCCCACTTAGATTTCTCACCCCCATTGCACAAATAAAGAGGCTGAAACGTCGAGAGACTTAGTAATTTACCCAAGTTCACACAACTAATACATGAAAAAATGAGGATTTGAACCTCATTTTTCAGACTCTAAAATTAATGCTCTTTTTTTTTAATATTCTGTCACTTAGCCACTTCCTTAAGTGGCTTGATCACGTGCCAATTAAAAAAATTAATAAGTAATTTATTTCTAGGTGCATCCCAATCAGCTCTATGTGCCCAAGAAACAGTAAATATAAATGGACTAATGCAATATCTCAGGATGATGAAAGCATCTATTTTTAAAGTGTCATTGACATATCATATTTTATCCACTATATTGGGTATCACATAGATTTAAATAATTTACAATTAGTTAGCAAAGAGAGGCTTTATTATAAACATTAAGACTAACCAAAAGAATAAACCAGCCAGGAGTCTAATAAACTAGTCACAGAAAACTAAAAGTCTACAGAACTGGAAACCAGAAACTTGAATAGGATGCCACTGGGTCCAAGTTAGAACCTCAAAACAATGGAAAGATCACAAAAAGTGAAACAGCTGATCTCTAAATTGAAAGTTAGTTTACACTAAAACATTTTAAAGTGCCATTTTGGGGTCAGATTAGTGGTCTATGGGCCCAAGATTGCCTTTCTAACAGTGGCTCCCATGGCTGTGTTTCAGAGTCAGTTTTCATCTATGGCACTCATCTTAATAAATCAAGGATATGTAGAGATCTCAGTTATCCTTAATGTCTCTAAATAACCTGCTAGAAAGATTGTCGGCCTGGCACAGTGGCTCATGCCTGTAATCCCAACAATTTGGGAGGTGGAGGCAGGTGGATCACCTGAGGTCAGGGGTTCAAGACCAGCTTGGCCAATCTGGTGAAACCCTGTCTCTACTAAAAATACAAAAATAAGCTGGGCGTGATGGCACACGCCTATAATCCCAGCTACTCGAGAGGCTGCGGTACGAGAATCGCTTGATCTCAGGAGGCAGAGGTTACAGTGAGCCAAGATGGTGCCACTGCACTCCAGCCTGGGTGGCAAGAGTGAGACTCCGTCTCAAAAAAGGAAAAAAAGAAAAAAGAAAAAAGAGATTGTCCATAAATTTATTTAAACCGGTTTTAATAATAGTTCTACTTTAGACCTTTACAATTTACTTAGGATATTAAAAGTCATCTGTGATTCTCCTAAATTCAGGGCGATGCCTCATGTAGGAACAAAAGCCAAATATAAAATTCACCCTTCAAGTATAAAGCATTTAAATGTTCAGAGTAGAATCAGTTCTGTATTTAAAAAAATAAAAAAAAAAACTGCTTTTAAAAAGAGATGGGTTTGGGGGAGGAAACAAGTAGTTAAGTGTAACTATGATCTTCCAAAATCAAACCCTAAGGATCAAGATGTAATTAACAACTACAGCAAAAGTGAATGAGGCTCCTTCTACTTCTTATTGCCCCTTCAGAAGAAATATGTATGCAATGTTGAAGAAACTTTCAGAAATTACCAACCAATTTAGTAATTGGTTCTTCACCCTATAATAATAATGTACTTCTTAAGTCAAATGTTCATGTAGGCATTCATGATTTCCTTAAATTAATTTTTTTTCAAAATCTCCTTTTTTATCACTTTCCATAAGTGATAAAATGCAGGCTCTTGTTTTAAAATGCAGGCTCTCAAATAGGGAGCTAGCAGTCAGTAGATAACTAATTGTGTCATCCATGGCTTCCTCAGGAAAAAGAAAGCATACCAAAAAAAATTTAAGAACCAAAATCATTTTAAACACTTCTCTTTAAAATATTAAGGATAAAATAAAGGAAAAACGATGAAAAACCATAAGCCACTCCTAATTTAATGCAAGTTCCACTGATGCTCTACTTTTATTCTAGCACTTTCAAAAGTTGTGGTCCTAAGATGACCCATAAAGTCAAAGTCAGTAGTGACATGACTCCTTTATAAGCTAAGATTGTTTTTCAACTTCTGAGAGTTTATGTTTCTACCAGTGGAAAGAAAAAAAAAGTGTAATATTTGAGGAACTTGGTGTTTTTTTATAACACTACTGAAAATAGAAATATTTAAAGCCGGGAAAGAAAATACAATGGTAGCAGGATGTTGATCCAGACTTAATAACTTAAGAGAAATGTAGAAGTGTGAAAATCAAAGAGGAAGCTGGAAGAGTCTGTTATAAAGCAGGTCAGGTACAAAGGCAGGTTAAAGGGTTTCCTGCCACTGAAAAACTAACCCATTTTTTTTTTCAGAGTGTGATCTGTTATCAGTGTTCTCTGTCCTTTTTTTCCTCTTCATCTCAGCTTGATATTACTGTTTCCTTTCATATAATGTTAATGCAGTGATATAAAGATCTATTATTAGTGATAAATCAATTTTTCTTTCTCTCTCCACCCACTCCCCCTACCCCCCATCTAAGTCTTGAAGACAAGTCTGGACCAATTTCTCCATCCTGCCTCTGGCAGCAGACTGTAGCATTTCAGATCCTCCACCAAGTCCCGGCTGCTTCAAAGGAAAAATCCTACTTTCTTCAGTTAAGATCATAAGAAATATAGGGGGAGGGGGTCAGCTCTGTTTGGACATAATTACACTTCATCAAAAGAAGCTTTCTTCATCTTCCATGCGTGAAAAGTCTGCAAGCAGTTAAGTCTGTCTTTTTTTTTAAATATAAAAATTGCTATTTGGGAAACCAGCCAAAACTCAGAAAGCCAATATAGTAAAACAGTGCACACCCTTTGTTTCTCTTTGAAGTTTCTTAAATAAATATGTTGAGGGTTTACAAAGTACACTATCACTTTGCCATAGTTTCTACTTAAATTGATCAGAAAAAAGGTATGTAGCATCTATATAACACAAAAGTAAGATAAATGAAAACACTAACTTGAAACTGTAAGGTAAAATTAAGCATGGCACCCAATCCTTTAAAAACTAAAATGGATTACTCTAGTTAAAAACAAAGTATTATTACATAAGAAGAAAGATGCAATTCAGAGCATACAGGTAAATCATCATGTTCACATTTTTCTTGATTCTTACTAGAAAAAAAAAGACAAACTTTAATTGCATAGTGGACCTGCATAAGTAAATGAGAAAAAGGAAGAATGAATACACACACACATGCTCCAAACCTAATCAGTCAGTAGTGATATAGGATGTGTCTTTTTTTCCTCTTTTAATGAAAGTGAACTAAACGTGATGCAGAGATAACCCCCTTAGTTTTGATTCTACCAGAGGCTGTGAGCCTCATTTTATTTCAAACAACCTGTCAGTGACAGTATCTCATTAGCATGAATCATTTTTTTTTAAGTTAAAAAGTACAACTTCTTGGCCCTGTTCCTAGAAAGTAAACTAAAACTACTCATCGGAAACAGCCTTGCTTGAATTTCCCTTATCAAGTTTTTACAATGGTAATAATTTGACATCTGATCCAAACTAAAGAGCAATTATTAGACATGGTTTAAAAAGTGGTGCTTCTCATTTCCTAGTCAAACCTGGGTTGCAATGATTCCATAAGGCTTTATTTCACCTCAGCCCTAAAGTGGTCTATTTTCTTTCTTCTTATCAAAATACTTAAAATGGAAATATTAGATTCAGTTAAGTAAATAAATAAGCATAATGCTTCTAATAGGTGAGTAACCACTAAAAGTCTTTCTGTAGAATAAGTAAATAAAAGCCAAAATATTGGTCTCCTTAAAGACTTTTTTAAAAAAAATTAACCTCATTTATCAAACAGTTACAAAAACCCTAAAAGGGATAATTTTCTATTTAAGGATTTCTAATTTTTGAATGTGGATTCAGATGGTGGGAATCCTTACGTAGTATGTAACTATTAATATTAGAGTACTAATCATTCATCTGTCTAGGCAACTTTACATAGTCATTCTAACATAAGTAATACATTATTCACTTATTCAAATGAAAAGCCTTATGTTAAAAAAAGATTTTTAATAAATTCTTATTATGAAAGTAAATTAAATCATATAGAGGTAACCTGTGATAAGTGAAGAGCATTATGCCAGCTGTCCTTGCAACTTAGACCAAAATTGATATTATCAGGAAATTGATCCAACATATCAATTTTTCTTTCCCCTTTACCATTCAATTTACTCAGTTATTTGACTCCTCATAATTCAGAAGTTGATCCTCCAACTGTTCTTTTCTCTACCTTATATACTCACACCCAGTGAAATTAGGAGCTAGTTTTTCTGAAAACATTGTTTGAATTTTCAATATCATAAAATAAATGAAAAAGGCCTGAGTACTCAGAAAAACACTCAGCTTCATCTGGATGTATTTAAATCAAATCTTCAGTAATTCTATTCAGAAAAAGAAGGTGCTGATTTGTATACAGACTAGTATACATTTCATCAAAGGAGCCTAATGTGCTTATTCTATTATCAGTATCAAAAGTCAGAGACCTACCTCGTCCACTCCGGCCCACAAATCTCAGATCGTTGAACCTTGCTACTTGGTTTTTCATAACAGCAGAGGCATTCCGGAGCTCAGCAGAATAATTTTCATCGTTACCCGCCATGACAGTAACCACAGTCCCATCTGGTACCTCTCCAAGTGCTACCACCTACATAAAACAGGAAACACAGCAGCAATAATGGCACATCAGAAAGGCTTACAAACAGAATATACTCTCATTGCAAATGATGTGTCTTATCAGGACTCAGTGTTCTAGTCCAGTCCAGTAATGGCTGACAGGAATGAAGCATCTGTGTATGGGTTGTGATGCCACTTCAAACAGACCAATGTTTCAGGGCCCACCCATTTCAAAGGCAGGCAAAAATTTCCTTCATTTGTTGTTGGATTCTTCACAGGAAATATGTGCATTTTTATTAAATCCCCATGTTAAGTTGTCCATAGGAATTATGCCACAGAAGGAAGGAGGATGCCCCGTCTGCAGATTGCATCATACAGATCCAGGCACCACCTGTCTGCAGGCTTCCTCTCAGGGAGAGTCCTGAGGTGTGGTCTTAGCCCATCACAGTCTAAAAAAATATCAAGTCTAGTCAACTCTATGGGAGAAGATTTTTAAGTGAAACCCTGGGGCTCCTGACTACATAGAGCCTAGATATGGTGTGGTCTATGTTTTATCTCCTTACTTTGGGCTAGCACTTCAGCTTTTAATAACAGTAAAATTACTGAAAACCCACTCTGCAGTGGGATCCAGTGGGATATCCAAAGTCATCAAGAAACTGAAGATGAAAATAACTGATGATAAATAAAAAAATATATGTATACCCTTAGCCTCATTTCTATTATGTCTTGTCCCATCTGCCATCCTGGCATGACATACTTGACTACTTAATCGTCAACAGTCAATCTGAAGCAAATTAACCCAATCAAGAAAAGATTAATTATTCTTGATTAATCCATCTTTAGAAATAACCAACATTTTCTCTGCTCCAAGACTAGAGATCACACTTTAACCTGGGTCAGCTAACTTGCAAATGTGTGCCTCTATTAACACAGAGCCCGGTAAGGGGATGCTGGTGCAGATCCTTCACTGTCATATATGAAACATACTCCTCCTAATCCACTGCCAAGATCCTGCCCCTTGGTAACAATCCCTTGTCTCAATGAACTTCCAGGACTCTATATTCAGATTATTTCCATGTCTTCCTCATTCCATTTCCAGATGCCCTCATAGTAATTCAGCAATGACCCCAGCTAAAGTAGCCCACAACTCTCTGACAATAACACTCCTGTGTGCTTGCCTGTCTGGTAAACATCCCACTTATCTCTTTCTACTTCTAGTGCTACTCCCTCCTTTGTCAAGATTTCCATAAGATAAACCTAAGCATTTAATTCCATTGTTCCCAATACAATTGGCATATTAAAGTAGATTTCTTATAGTATGATAATATACACTATACCTACATCTTAGGGCTGAATTTCCTACAACACCCCTTCACTATGTCCTCTCCTCCAGCCAGGAAAACAATCAAACAAAAAACTTGTCAATATTTTTGTCACCCTTACTTTTCTCTTAGGCTGTTTCTCAGTTCCATTCCTTCCATTCAGTACTGTGTTATTCAGCTCAAAATCAATAAAGCCTTCCTTAAATTACAGGCCAACTTTCCCCAGCATCCCACTGTACTCAAGTGATCCTCATTTCAATGTATATATATTAATATTAATGGTCTATGACTACTTTAAATACACCAGCCCAAAGCTGAGGGACTCGCTCCTAGGAGTCCAGATTATATGAGTTTGGAAACTACACAAAAGAAGGGCCTCTATCTCATCTGTCTTGTTCACCACTTATCTACCTGCTCCCAAAAGTGTCCAGCACATGGTAAATGTTTGATTAATTTTTTTTTTTTTTGAGATGGAGTCTCACTCTATCACCCAGGTTAGAGTGCAGTGGCATGATCTCGGCTCACTGCAACCTCCACCTCCCAAGTTCAAGTGATTCTCCTGCCTCAGCCTCCTGAGTAGCTGGGATTACAGGCATGCACCACCACACCCGGCTAATTTTTGTATTTTTAGTAGAGAAGGGGTTTCACCATGTTGGCCAGGCTGGTCTTGAACCCCTGACCTCAGGTGATCTGCCCGCCTCAGCCTCCCAAAGTACTGGGATTACAAGCGTGAGCCATTGAACCCAGCCAGAAAAATATTTTTGAAATAAATGAAAGAGCTCCATAAAGAGCCCCACTTCGCAGAGACAGAAGTCTGTGGGGCTACCCGCTAAAACTCTGAGAGGGTCAGTTAATGATGAGTCAGCATCCCTTGCTAACAGCAATGTGCCCTTGCTCCCAGCTCATTTTCTGATATTGTTTTCATCCCAGAGGAGAGGGAACCATGCTGCCTCCCCTTTCCCTGAAGTCTATAGTTATTCTCAATATGAGAAGTCTCCTGGGTCAAAAGTAAAATCCCTTGAAAACAAGACTTCCTCCCTGCATACTTCATCTCGTACCTCAAGCGGTTACCGAATACAGGTAATGCTGTACTCCTGGTGGAGGCAATGTGCTTTTCAATTTTTCAAATTCACCATGCCAAAAATGTGAACATTTGAAAATACTGCAATAATTGACTACATTTGCCAGGATTCATCTGAATGTTTGACATTTTGTACACTCAGCATATTGTATTTTAACACCTGCTGTGTGGCTTTCTATGTCAAAGTAAATATGGACCCAGTAAGCATATTAATAAAGGCAGGAGAAAAGTTGTACTGTTTAGAAGAGAATGAATATACTAAAATCAAGAGGCTCCACTTTTTCCCACTTCTGCTACATATCTGCTGTGACCTCACACAAGTAACTTCATCTCCAGGAACCACAGTTTTCCAATATGAATTGGAAAGTCTGCAAAATGTAGAAGATACTATATAAGTATAGAGTGTAATTATAATGATGTGCTTTTTGTAAGATGAGGAGGGTAACACAGTGTTCTGTTCCAAATCTGCTGTCTGTTAAACATAGGCTTTTACTTATAAGCATCCTTAAAGGGTTCAACTGAATATGTACTTCCTTTCTTCATGTTCTGAGATGTTCTTTGGTGTTGTTGAGAGATACAGGATGACTGCTGGTAGATTTCACTCAAGTCTGGCTACATTTCCGAAAAAAAATAAAGCAATCTGCCCCAATATAAAGGTTTTCGAGAGCTCTGGGACATTATTATTTTACTGCATATTTTTAACGTAATGGATTTTTTTTTAGTTAGAAGAAATGGAAAATTGATTCAATATGGGAAAATATGAAAGAAAAGATCCCTAAGAGTGAAATACATAAATCCATTTTACTGTGCTTAAGCAGCATAATAATGACCATATTCAATATTGATGTGTTTTACATATCACATTTTACAAAACAAATAAATAATCACAAGCTGTGTGAGCCTTCTATGAGGCTTAGAGCAAGGCCTGAAAAAAAATTGCTAATGCAATGTAGTGACAATCTTTCCTGTTAAGGCTGAACTCTAGTTTAATGGCTAAATATATTGAGTTTTTTCTGCTATTCACTCTACCAAATCAGATTGCCTGATGTTTTTCTGAGGGGGAAAAAAGGCTGGGAGTTGAGGGAAGTACTGTATTTGACTTTATATCAATCAGAAGTATAATTATATGTTTGAGAGGTTTTTTTTCTTTAAGTAGATCTCTGAAGCTAAAAAGTTTCCCTTGGAGATTCTCAACTGTGTTTATCTAAAAGAAAACCAAAAGAATCAAGAAATTTTTACACATTTCATCTGTACCAAAACCAAGCAATGGAAAAACATTTGAAGGGGTAAAGCGCAGTCAAAACTAAGTCAAAACTCGCTCTTTAACTACTTAGGAATAAGCACAAATTAAAATTTGCTTCCATTCTACCCAACACAAAAGTACTGCTCTGCAAAGAATAATTTGTGATGAAATCTTGACAAGTACATTTCTAGGTGTTTTTAAAATATAAAATCTACAAATTCAAGAAACTTCATGAGAAAAAGAGAAGTAATTTTCTGTCCTGACATTTCAGAATAGAGAAAGACGTTCCTTTATTTAGCGCACCTCACCATAACTAGCATTTAAATCACATGGTATGTGGCTTGCACAAAATAAAGTAAAAGGATATTTAACTGTAGTAATGCTATTGAAATGTTGTATGAGACTCCTTATGACTAAATCTGTGAATCACTAAAAGAAGAGGAACGGATAATTAACTCAAACCCTTAAAACAGTTTCTCATCTTTTTATATAGAAATTAAAATTTCCCAGGACATTTTCATGGACAGAAGTCTAGTCCTAACTAATCCATTACTCTTATAGGCCAACATAATTTGGGACATTGTACTTGTGGTATAATAAATATAATTATTTTTCAAGATAAAATCTGATCAAATCTTTCTTTGCAATAAAAGAGGAGTCTAATCGCAAAAAGCAAAAATGTTATTCCTATCGTAATTATTTAAAGGTAACTTCAAATACAGTATCAAAACATTTCAACAAATACTACAGTTAATTTTTTGAATTTATCCTAGAACTTAGGAAAAGCCCATTGAATTCTAGAGAAAAAACACAATATATCATTTCATAATTTTAAAAATATATATGTCAAAGAGAAATTTTGATAAAAATTATTTCAATTTAAAGCAGAAATTTGTGGGCCATGTATCATGGTGGTTTAGATCATTTAACAACAGATATTCTGGAATTTTGAAAGGATACAAGCAATAATGCCAAAGAGGAAAAAAGAATGAAAGATATCTACCATACCTATTTTCAATTATTTAATGGAAGTTTTCTTAAAAATTTTATAAGTATTTATTTTCCACCTGAAATTCTTTGTTCCAACTGCCTTACTTGGAAGTTGTATATATTCAGTCCCAAAATATTTAAGTTTAAATAAGTTTTCTTGAATTCAAAGGCATAACACAAAAATGTGTGTCTTCATACAACTTGAAATCTATTGTGATTTACATAATTTTGCATAATAATTTATATTAAGGTTAATAAGGATTTAACAGGCTTAATAACCTATTTCCCTTGTTTAGATACAATGAGATTCAAAAAATATAAACATAAAATCTGATCATTAAGTATGTAAGAAAAATACTACTCTCTGGTATCAAGTATTTATTAGTTGCATATTTGTTTTCGAAGAGAGAAAAATGGTTAGTGATGCCGAAAAATTATTTTCAAACAGAAATTGCTCCGTCATTTTGAAACCCCTCCTTTTGACAAGCACTGAAAGGTATTATTAAAGATACAGAATTAACTATGAGTGCTAGATTATGTATCTAAAAATGTGTTTTCTTTCTTTAACACTGCCAGAAAAACATATGATACTGATAAATATATATAGTCCAGTGTTCTCTAACTTAAAACAGCAGAATAGGCTTGAACTACTTTTAGTTTTAAAATATACATCTGGACTTAAAATTTCTGCGTAGTGTTTCAGCTTGAAGCTATTTAAGGCAACTAAGTTATGAACCCTGAACACCAGGTTCACAGTGGAAATGCTGACGGACCCCTAACTAAAAGGGTGCTACTGGATGCGAGGTTGACATGCTCTCTCCACAATTACCTGACCATCAGCTAATAAGTTGAATTTGCAAATTACTTCTTTGTCACTAGAATTATCTAGGATAGAAAGGGTCTGGGATCCTCTAATAGTATGCCTTAACTATTTTAAGGTTTCAGTGAGATACACCTGAAAATGTTAAAAATATTTATTTCGTTTCCTTGACACCTGGGGGGACCGAACATTTCAAAACTGCAGAACTTTGTTAAAAATACAATGTTAATAAACAACTTTATATAAAGTATACTAGTTGTTTTTGCATTTTTACATGTAAAAATAAATAAATTTTATATCATCTCGAAACAAGAGTAGATGAACAACGCTAACACATTCTTAATGAAATAGATTGCCAATATCGTGTTTAAACACTAGTTTAAATTGACATTTCAAAACAGTCTATTGAATTCATTTCTGATTCTCTGTGGTGTCAAGCTCAGTGTGACAGATACAAAATATGGGCTCAATAAATATTGTATTGATTTGAATACCAGACTTCACAACAAATAAGTTGTGTGTGTGTGTGTGTGTGTGTGTGTGTGTGTGTGTGTTTAAACCCATTTACCTATCTGCTATCTACCTGACAACCACTATAATTTATTTTTTACACAGCTCTAAATACCATGGCCAAATTGCTGTCACCACTTTTAAAACGGAGACTTCTTCATATTATTTCTTCATTGCAGATGTATTTGATTATATTGTAAGAGTGTAGAAAGTCTAGTGTTCCAAACATCCATACATTTTTTTTCAACCGAGTATTTTCTATACTGCGTAGATCTTAGCTATCACCCACTTTTTGAATTCTGTTTAACACAGGTATGGTAACAGAAAGATATTGACAGTGAGGTTTTAGGTTAACTCAATTCATTATTCAATTGATATCAATTAAAATATCTGTTTTAATATGGTCTTGTTACCTATGGTCTGTATCCTGCTTAAGATAACAAAAATGTACTCTGTAATTAACAAGTTGATTAATAACAAATAACAAAATTCATTTTCAAAATAATTTTTAAAGGGTGGTAGTGAAAAATCTTAGATGACAGCCAAAATATCTGAGACTAGCTCAAGCTAAAGTGCAAAAAGCATCCTTTCCATCCAAAATGCTCATGTTCAAATCAATTTAGTAGCATAAATGCAACAGTTCAAGATAGACCTTAAATATGTTTAGCAGAATGGTATATGGAATATCAAGCATCTAAATGTCTTTAAAAATGTAAGCATCTGTTCTCATATTTTCACATATTCTGATGTACTAATTTGTATTTGTATTTTTTGTTGTTTTCATCCAGGTTTGGGGTTTTGTGGGGCTTTTGGTTTGGGGGATTGAAGGGGCATTGGTGGAAACAAATTTCCATTCTCATATAAGACTAATTTAAAAATTCTGTGCCCTTGGACGATGGACATTGTAAAAGATACATATTGTATGGAAATTTAAATTTATACAATTCACATGTATTCTGAGCTTTTCCTACTTCAAGGAAGCAAACATTAACCTACAAAATGGGTGGTTTATAAAAGGAGAAATGTGACGGTTAAAAAAAAAAAATTCTTGAGCCAACTGCAAAATGAAACTTGCCCCAGAAAGCAACATCCCCTTTCCATAACAATTCATTCTGATTTCTGTTCTGATATAAGACCTAGCGAGATTACCAGCTCTAATTGACCTGGACTCCTCTTTCTTTCCATCCCACCCACACACGGAATCTGAATTGGTGCGTGGGGTGAGAATTATCAACAACTGGGAACTGTCAGTGGCCCGTGGGAGTTTGGCCACCGGGTCCCCAGTGGAGAAACTGGCATGATTCCTCCCCCAACTTTTTTTTTAACCTCCCCCGAGGCCTTGCTTGCCCTGCTCTCCACAGACCTCAGAACCCAGGGGACCCAGGCCCACCTACTCAAGTTCAGAGGTAGAAAGGGCCCAAAGCACCTTTGCGAGAGTGCTCATCTCCACATCTGGCTTACCACCCCCTGCATCCCTGGCGTCTTGCGAGTGTGGACAGCCCGGGAACCCATTTCCCCATCAACCCAGTATGCGCTGGGCCCTGGGGACTCCGCGTCTCCCACACTGGAGAGGACTGCCCCGGGAAATCCGGATCGAGTTACGGAGACCCATCGGGCTACTGTGAGAGGCTCCAGATCCTAAACCCTCAACCTGTGGAGCACCTGCCTGCGACTCCCGCGGCTGCCACCCGCCCTCAAACTAACGGGCCGGGCAGGCACAAGAGTCCGCGGGGCGCGCAGAGGCCGCTCTCAAGCCTTCGAACTCACTCTGTGCTCAGACCACCGGCAGGAGCCTCTCACCACCTTTCAGAAGCAGGAGGGACCTTTTTAAGATTTAAGTCCTTTAAAAATAATACTAAAGCAAAAATACAAAATTTCACCTCCGTTTTCAAATTGGGCGAACTCAAGTTGTTTCACAGGTCTCCCTCATCCCTCCCTGGCGGGGCGAGGCGCATAGCTCGGTCTCGGCTGGAAGAAGCGGCCCGAGCTCCCGCCCCCTCCCCTGGCCAGCACCTCCCAGCACTCGAGGGTTCAGCGCCCAGGCCCCCTGAACGCCCCCGCTTCGGGGCTCGCGGACGCCCAGGCTGCCCCGCCTTCCTCCCGGTAACGGGATCTGGCGCGGGTCAGCGAACAGAGCAAACGCCCCCGTCCTGACACCCCCTCCTCTGGAGATCCTAGTCTTGTCCGGGACCCTCCCAGGCACGGGTAGTGCAGCCCGCGCGCCTCAGTCAGCACCCCACGCCCAGCCCTGGGCACTAATGCCCGGCGCCGGCACCCAGTGAATCCCGACCCGGGAGCCCGGGAGGGACCAGGACCGCTGAACTCTGCGGGTCAGGGAAGGGGACGCCGAGACCTAAGGAGGGGCTTTTGGCTGGGAGGGAAGCGAGTGGGAGCGCGCGGAGCCCCAAAGAGAGGCGACGCGGGCAGCCTGCAATGCGGCCAGGCCGGGATGACCAGGGAGGAGGAAGCGGGAGCCCCGGGGGACAGTGTCGGGGATCCTCGCCCCCGGGAAAGGGGCGGGGTGGAGCAAGTCCGCTCGCAGTGCAAGAGTGGGCACCTTGGGGATCCTGGGGGAAAGGGAGACGGAGCGAAGGAGTGGGTGAGAACCGAGGCCGGGCAGGAGGCAAGAGGAGGGATGAACGGGTCAGGGGGACGAGGGCTGAAGTCGGGGTGGCAGCGGGCACAGGTGGGAGAAGGAGGGATTTGCGCGGAGGGACTGAGCCTCGAGCCCGCCAGGGCATCCGGAGGGAGAGGCCCAGCCGGGGGTTTCTGGGGTTAGAGCCGCCAAGGCAGGAGGTCTTGGAGAACGTCCGGGGCCCAGCCCCGTGGGCAGGAAGACACCGGCGGGCAGGTTCCGCGGCTCCGGGCCGGGGGCGGGGGGCGGTGTAGACTCTTACCTTGAAGGCCACGGGCAGGGTCTTGTTGCAGCGCCAGTGCGAGGGCAGTACCGAGCACAGGAAGTTGGGGCTGTCGGTGCGGACGAGTTCGGCCGGGTGGTCGGCGATGATCTCCACCATGGTGCGGTTGTCGTGTGGCGGCCGCAACCGGGG